ACCCGGCTGATTTTTGATTTATTGTAGAGATGAGGTCTCGCCAAGTTGCCCGGGCAGGTCACAAACCCGTGGGCTCAGGCAATTCACTCACCTTGGCCTCCCAAAGCGCGGGATTACAGGCTGAGCCACCGAGCCCAGCACAATGAGCCTTTTCTAATGGAGTAGATTTTTCTAATGGAGTGGAAATTAATACATAAGAAATCTCTAAGGTTTTTAAAGGAATTGTATCAGCTTATACTGAAAGAGACAGTACAAAATGAAAAGACCTCTTTGTACTCCTAAACTTTTATAGGCAGGCAGTAGGCTAAGAAAACTACTCAGATGTAAAAACAGACTGCTTTCTCTATGACAAAGGAAGGATAACTCAGACTGGAAACAAGAGCACAAAAGGCAGAGCCAAGAGCCATGGAAAGCAGCCCCTAGAGAGCAGGACTGATCCCTAATCAAAGAACTTACAAGATTTACATGACTGGATTTCAAAATTGCTATGGACCAGAGACTGTTGTGTGTTTTCCATTTTCCTCTTTTTGGAAAATTTGTCTATTACAGTTATTCTAAACTTCTGTCACCATTGTATGTAGTACGTGTAAGGGAAGAGGGGAAATGATTGTCATTCTTGGGTAATTTTGGTTCACAGGCCTTTGGGTCAAGAAGAATAGTATTCAAAGTACTGTACTCGAGGAACCACATTAGAGGAGCCTTAAATGGTGAGATATTGGGCCTCAAGCCTAATTCTGAAGTCATAATGGTATGAGACTTTTCAGGTTTCTTGGGAGAGGATGAACACATCTCACTTTGGAAAGGGATATGAATTGTGGCCACAAGACAGACTGCAGCAGATTGTTTTCCAAAGATGGTGATAATATCTCTCATGCTACATGTTCTTCTAGAACTTTGTCTCACCTCATCAAGAGATGGAGTTTAATTCCCTTTTTGAATATAGATGGACTTGAGGCAGTCTTGTAACCAATAGAATGCTGTGGGCAAGTGATAATTTATGAATTCTGAGGCTAGATCAGAAAAGATTATAAAAAACCTTCCAACTTTGTAGGAATTCTTGTGTTGGAGCCTCCAACTACCATGTAAGTAGTATGTCTGCTCTGATGCTGTCATGCTATTAGGATACACAAACTAGCCCATGTGAAGAAGCTCTGAGTCTACCAGCATCATCCCTTCACTGCTTCAGGTTCATTCCAGCTCCAGGTACCGTCTGACTGCAGCTGCATGAGAGCTCTCAGACAGAATCATCCAATTGAGCCCTTCTTAAATTCCTGACTCATGGAAGCCATGAGAAATCATAAAATGTTTGTTTTTATTTTAAGCCACTAGCTTTAGGGGTTGCATTATTATGGAGCAATAGTAATTGAATCACTCCCATTACCACCTACCCCATAGAATCCTTTATAATGTGATATTTCCTTTTATGTGACATTGGGTTTCTTTTGTGAGAATGTAATTTTTATGTACATATACTATACAATAAATTTTGATTTTTCCTCCATTCAGCATTTAAAAAAATATGCTGCTATGTACATCAGTCTGTTATTTCCAGCTGATGTGTATGACATAAGCTCCATTCGCCATGTTTTATTTACCTATATCTCTAGTGATGAACCACTAAATGTCCTTCAGCATTCACATCACAAATGTCCTGGGACGTGTCTACTTAGGACTCTCTGTGAGAGTTTCTTGGCATAATAGACCCAGGAGTGGGAATGCTGGGACAGAGGACGCCTGTATGTTTCTAACTAAGCATGGTTTTTCTTCTCTCCAGGATCACTGCACCAGTCCACATTACCAAAACAGGGAGGACTCACGCAAGTAGCAAGATTCTCATTTGCTAGCCCAATTTCTACATTTTATTTATAAAAAAACTAGTGAGTCTGATGGAGAGTTTGTTTTCTATAAGTGCCCCAGATATCCACATAGTTCACTCCCTCCATTCCTAAAGGTCTTACTTCAAATGTCACCTCACCACCTCATTGCAAAGAGTTACCACCATATCCCATCACTCTCCTTTTCTGCTGTCTCGCTATGCTTTCCTTCATATTTCTTACAATTGACATTGTGTGTAGGTATTTAATGTGTGTCTCCCTACCACACCAGGATGGTGTGAGGTGCATAGTATGTGATCAGTGAAGATTTGTTATAAATGAATTAACTGGAACCTGGCTTAACCAGGTGCCATTCTGAGGAGCTTGTTTTGGTGGGAAGAGTACTGGGAGATACTGAACCTCCCTGATCTTTCCTTGCTTGCACTTTGGGCTCATCATACACAGGGATTAAGGGCATCAGGACATTTTATTAGCACATAGGGCTGTCCTCTCTAGTGGCAGAATTTTAATTCCATCAATGTTTTAGGGACCATTAGTGTCCTAAGTGTTTGTAGTGAGGTTTGCTTGGTTACAGTTTCTTTTTTAATGGATTAATGGAATCATTAAACCCTAGTCTCTACTATCATGTAATTATCCTAAGTCAAACAAAGGAAGAATATTTAGTTTTTTTTTTAAAAAGTCCTTGATAAAAAGTGCTTGAATGGACTGGGCTCGGTGGCTCAGCCTGTAATCCCGCACTTTGGGAGGCTGAGATAAGTGGACTGCCTGAGCCTGCGGGTTCGAGACCCGCCCGGGCAACTTGTTGAGACCTCATCTCTACAATAAATAAAAAAAAAATTAGCTGGGTGTAGTAGCGTGTGCCTGTAGTTCCAACTACTTGGAAGGCTCTGGCGGAAGGATCGCTGGAACCCAGCAGGTCGAGGCTGCGGTGGCCGAGAGCATGCCACTGCACTCCAGTCGGGGGACAGAGTGAGACTCCAACTCAAAAAAAAAAAAGGTGCTTGAATGAATAATATAGCATTGCACTGTCTGTTACTAAAGCCACTAGCTATATGTGGCAAATTAAATTTAAACACCTAAAATTTAGTTTTTTAGTCATGCTAACCATACTTGACATGCTCAGTAGCCACATGTAGCCAGTGGATAGGGAGATACAGATGTTTCCACTATCAGAGAAAGTACTGTTGGGCATCACTGTAGAAAGACACACAGCTTCTCTAGGCATGTTCTGAAAATACAAACCTGCTTTCAAACTTGTCATTGGAATCTCTTCTGCCTTCCTTCTTCAAGACCAAAAGGGTCAGAGTTTTGTTCTATCATTAAAAACTACAACCTTTGTTACTTTTGTATATTGATTTGGGAAGAAAGAATTCTTTCCTACTGGCTTATACTGGAGGACACCTCTTAGCCTACTTTACATAGTTGTATAGAACATACGTTGTTAGCACCAAAGTCACACTGAGATAAAATTTATTGTCATATAATGAACATTTTTTCATAATGAACAGATATTCTGATTTATATAAACTTTACATGCCATATTAATTGTCCCTCTGGATGAAAAGTTGCCCTTTTCCTTTTTATTGTCATTAGTTCTTCAAATTCCAAAATTGTGTGGTTAAGAGTAAACTTAGTAAATTGTTGCTAGTGGAACCTTGATTATTATAAACATCTGCTTCAATTTTAAAGTTATGCAATAAGAATTAGGGGGAAATCAAATGTTATAAATTTATTTGGGACATTTATTGCCACTACTTTGGAAGCCTTTGAAAATTCAAGCAGAAACCAATATACTTCCATTTTTTTATACTTTCAATAAATAATATCTTTGTGTATATGTATATATATAGACAGATAAATATACTTAATTAATGAGTCATTTAGCAGGGTTCTTAAGTTTTATACTGCATTCATCCAAAACAGCTCTTTCCAGATTGATAGGATGCAAATGAGGTACGAATTAAGGCAAACCCAAAAGGCATGCAAATATAGTACATTTATATTCACTGATAATACAAGCTCTTGTATGTGGACCAGTTACAGGAGCCAAGGGCCTCTCTATGTGTCTGTCCAGTACTATTTTACAGGAGGGTGGTGACACAGCTTATAATTAAGTTACATTACCGTGGGGGGTCTCAGTGCTACCAACATTATGTAATCAAGGAGACACAAGCATTAGCAAAACATGAACAGTAAATCATATAACTCTTTGCAGCACATTTCTGCCCAGGCTTTGGAGGAGGAGGGTTTTTTATGAAATGATATTACACATGTCACATTGTGGCAGGTTGTTTTGTTTTATAATATATGCTTTTAAAATTCATTAGCAAATGACATTCTCATGCACACAAGTGTTTCAAACACAAGAAGCAAGTCCATTTATAGGTAGTCCAAGCAATATTTGTGTGTGTGTGTGTGTGTGTGTGTAGCTGCAGACTGAATGGAACATTGAGACTTTTGTGCAGTCCATAGCATTGACATCAGCTCATTTCTGAATGTCGCACTGCAGAAGTAATACAATGGAGGGGTCGCTCTTTGCAGCTTCTTTGAATTCATCCAGTGTAATCTGGTCGTCTTTGTTCTTATCCATCTTGCTGAAAATCTTGTCTACTCGCTGCTCGGGCGTGAGGCCATCCTCGTTCATTTTCATCATGATCACAGTGCCTACCATTTTGTAGATAGCCTTGGGGGAAAGAACAATTGCAGATGGTATTACGAGAAACCCAGGAGGACAGACAGCTCTTCTTGCCTTCCCCGCACCTGTCTGAAGCCTACTCACCCTCCAAGCCTTAGTATCCCTTTGCCCAGAAAAGGTTCAGTCTTTGTGTTGCAAGTTCCCATGGCAACCCATTTCCCTCATCAGAATACATCTACTTTATTACAATAATGACTTTGTTTTCCCCACCAGAGAGAATATTCCATGAAGCTAGGAATCATGTGTTTTGCTCACTCTTGTAAGTCCACATAGTAGGTCTGCAATAGATATTGACTGAATGAAAAAAGCATTTAGCCTGTTGGAATGTGGGATGTGAGGCAAGGGCAGTAGGAAGGAGGGCCGAGTGAGGTGTTGGTGAAAGATGAAGCAGGGCACTGGAAAGCAAGAAGCAGATCACAGAGTTCTAAGACAGCAGAAAAATTTATTTCAAATGACTCAAATACTATTCAAAAAGAGAGTGATATAATCAAATATGGGTGAATTTTGTGACCAGTTGAATATAGAAAAATTTTGGATGACTCCAGGTCTCTGACTGAAGAAAGAGGGTAGGATGGGTGGCTCAGTGGTGAGTCAAGAATAATGGATTAGAACAGTTTCAGAAAGAAGCATGTTGAGTTCTGAGTTGAAGGTGCAGATGGAAGTCAACAAGAACTTGGAGATTTAGGAAATGATGAAATGTGATCCCAGCTGGTAAGAAACATAGACTCAAGCTGGGCTCGGTGGCTCAGCCTGTAATCCCGCACCTTTGGGAGGCTGAGGTGAGTGGATTGCCTGAGCCCGTGGGTTCGAGACTCACCTGGGCAACTTGGTGAGACCTCATCTCTACAATAAATAAAAAATTAGCCGGGTGTGGTAGCACACAACTATAGTTCCAGCTACTTAGAAGGCTGAGGTGGAAGGATTGCTGGAGCGCAGCAGGACGAGGCTGCAGTGGCCGGGAGCGGCCACTGCACTCCAGCCTGGGCGACAGAATGAGACTCCAACTCAAAAAAAAAAAAAAGAAACATAGACTCTGGTAAGACAACCAAGCCAGGTGTATCATCAAAATTGAGCTCTGAAAGGAATTAGTTTAGGAAGAACTGTGGATCAAGAACTCTGATTATAAGTTAAAGAACAGAGACTATTTCAATAATCCAGGTCAATTAATTGTATGTAATTCACTCTCAATATAAGAATTTCCTAAATATGAATAATTTTCTTTCTTAGAAAAGTTTCTTTAAAAATAAATGCCCATCTATATAAAGATGTGCAAGCAAACACTCATAGTAGCATTATTAATAGCCAAAAAGTGGAAACAACACAAATCTTCATTAACTGGTAAACAGATAAATAAAATATGACCTATCTATGCAATGGAATCCTTCATTAGCAATAAAAAGGAATGGACAATAAGAAACGTGAACACAAGAGGTCCATCCTGGACCTCAGGAAATGGCAGGATCTAACTAACCGTATGCCTGGAATTTAAAAAGACAAATTGGCCTATCTCTATGTAAGCCGCTGCTTTCACTCTAGCCTTTGAAAGGTGAAACCAAAAGGCCTTACATGAGGCAAGGGATATGATGACAGTCAGCAAGATAAGTGTACTGTTTAATAAAGTGCGGACAATAAGAAACGTGAACACAGCCGGGCTCGGTGGCTCAGCCTGTAATCCCGTGCCTTTGGGAGGCTGAGGTGAGTGGATTGCCTGAGCCTGCGGGTTCGAGACCCGCCTAGGCAACTTGGTGAGACCTCATCTCTACAATAAATCAAAAATTAGCCGGGCATGGTAGTGCACGCCTGTAGCTCCAGCTACTTGGAAGGCTGAGGCGGAAGGATCGCCGGAGCCCAGCAGGTCGAGGCTGCGGTGGCCGGGAGCGGCCACGGTACTCCAGTCTGGGTGACAGAGTGAGAGTCCAACTCAAAAAAAAAAACAAGAAAAGAAACGTGAACACAAGAGGTCCATCCTGGACCTCAGGAAATGGCAGGGTCTAACTAACTGTATCCATGATGCAGCCCTGCAATTTGGACCATGAACATGACAACCAAGAAAGGGTATTACTGATGTAAATTCTTACATGGGACATCAACAAAAGACCCAGGGCATGCCAGGCTCCGAACTCAATGTGAACATGCTGCTGATGAAACCACAGAATCCCTTGGTTGGGTCTCCTCAGTATCAGAATGTTTAGCATGACCTTCTCTGCAGACAGGATACGTTATCACACGTGCTCCAGTTAGGATTTTACCCCTAACTCCACTGAAACTATCCTCAGCTAGTTCACCAAAGACATCCAGGTCTCCAGATCCAATTGTCAATAACTACAACTCATTTTACGTCTCTACCAATAGTGTTTGACATGACTGCACGTTCCCTCCCCTTGAAACAAGTTCTGTATTTCCCTTCCAGGACTTCTCACTTCTCTTTTTAACTTTGACCTTATTGACCTTTTTCTCTTCATCTCCTTTACTGGTTGCTCCTCATACTTCTCCCTTCTCCGTATTAGGACTCCTCAGGACTCAATCGATCGGAAATCTCATTTTTATCTATATTCTCTCCCTAAGTGCTTATCTGCCTTTGTTGATTTAAATACCTGAATAAGGTGGCTCAGACTGTAATCCCAGCACTTTGGGAGGCCAAGGTAAGTGGATTGCTTGAGCCTGTGGCTTCGAGACCAGCCCGAGCAACTTGATGAGACCTCGTCTCTACAATAAATAAATTAGCCAGGCGTGGTAGAGCACGATTGTAGTTCCAGCTACTTGGAAGACTGAGGCAGAAGGACTGCTGGAGCCTAGCAAGTCAATGCTGGGATAGCGGTGAGTGTGCCACCACTGCACTCCAGACTGGCCGACAGAATAAGAATTCAACTGACTAACTAAATAAATAAATACCTGAATAAGTCTCACGACACAGAAGACTGGTTCCCGTCAGTCTGGGTAGAGGAATCTCACTAAATATATGACATAATCAATAAGGACTCCAGAATGATCACAGTTCCATCATAGGGCTTAGCCCCAAAGAAGACAGACTCTTGACCTGCCTTAACAAAACTTAAAAGCACACCTTGAAAAAAATTACATGAATCCACATGTAACTTCCCTGCCTGTCAAAACAAATCTCAGTACTCTTTAAATGAAGACAACAAAATACAGTACTATAATGTAGCATTCACAATGTCCAGGAACCAATACAAATTATTAGGTAAGCCAAGAAGTCACAAAATGTGACCCATAACCAGGTGAAAAATCAGCCCATAGAAGCTTCCCCTGAGAATGCCCATGTTGAAGAGAAGAAAGGAAGGAAGGGCTGGAAGTAATAAGGAGAGATGTGGGAGAACTAAGAGAAAGGAAAGCAGCCGCTGACAGCCAGGAGCTGGCCCAGCCCTCACTGCTAGGTCTTGATGCTCTCACCAGAAACAACAAATTTCACAGAATGCCTGTGACCGTGATGGAGCAAAACAAAAACAAGGTTACTCTGTCATTAGACCTGGACACAGACAAAACATTGTCCAAGCCACAAAACACCAAGCATCCCCCTGTCCTCCCCGCCCCATTAGAGTGACTACTACTTCTTTACCAATTAGAGCTTGGTTTCAGTCTAGGTGGTCTCCTAGATGAGATTTATTGAGATACCCAGTCACAGAAGTGTCCCTATTGTCTGAGAGTGCCCAATCCAGAGTGAAGCCCTGATTCCTGGAACCCTCCTCAAATCACCCTCCTAACGTCCAGATCCTATAAGTCTTTTTTAAACCCCCCCTTACTGAATTTCCTCACAGTTCCCTCACTGCAAGGAGTAATAAACTCAGCTTGTGCAACTACATGTGTGCTGTTGGAGTCTTTGGCTGAAGGGCATTGACAAGAATGAGAGAGGAGCATTTGGGGAGGATGAGATCAGTCATCAGTGGGGAAAAAAATAGCAAGAAGTCAAGTGAGAATAAACTTGGGAAAACCTATTTTGTAGGAGGGAATCTGAAGACAGCCAAGTGAAGAGTGGAAGACGGGCAAAGGATTAGAGTGAGAAAGAGAAAATGTAGTCTCTTATTTAGAATTTTTGTTCTGTGTCTTTTCTGATAACCTGTTTTGAAAAATGTATTTAATTGAATGAACTGAAAAAAAATAGAGAACTAAAATATTTGTTTGCTAGGTCTGTTTGAAGGGGGGTGGCCAATGAAGATACACGGGGAGGAGCCAAAGGAGAACAAGAGGCTAAAGATGCCAGAAGAGAGTGTGTGTAAGTGAAGGAACCGGGCTTCCGAAGCAGGGGACTGACTGTGTTGGGGAATGGGAGGGGGAGGGTGGGAGGTGAGACTTCACTCACTCTCTGAGGCAGGGAGGAGAGTGAGAGTAGTGTAGGGGACCTGCGGACTTTGGCTCCTGTTTCTTGCAATCACGCCCAGTTTTCATTTGGGAACCCACTCCTCCCCGAGTCTCAGCCCCTCCTGGGCTCCGGACAGGGCTTCAGCCCAGCTCTGCGATGGAGCAGCTGGCTCTGGTTTACAGAAAACAGTACCCTTTCTCTCCTTGGGTCTCAGTGGCCTACGCTAAGAAAAGTCATGGATCCCTTCATCCGCCTTGGAGTTCCTGCCAGGCTCCAGACCCGGTTCTAGGTTCTGGGAATTCGGCAGTGAGCAAGCACAGCCTTTCTTACAGAACTTGCGTTCTATTATATATTCTACTCTGCAAGGTAATTTGGGGCAGGGGTAAAAGCTGCCCAAACCCCTCTTGGTAAAGGTTAGATTGTCTCAGTGTGGGGGTGGGGTGGGCACCCTTGGGAAGCGATGCAAAAAGGAAGGCCTCGCTGGAGGTGAGAATGGGGTAGAGATGTGAGCGGATTGAGGGAGAAGCCCCGGAAGGCGGAAGGGCATTCTGGGCAGAGGGAGAGGAAGTCGAAGGCCCCGAAGTGGGACTAAGCATTAGAGGAAAACATCCCGAGTGGGGCACGCAGAGTGAACGAAGAATCCCAGGATACTCGCAAACACAACTGGAAAAGCCTGTTTGTTGTGGAAGGACGGGAATCTGGAAGGACGACCCTGGGAGCTGCTGGCAGCATCTGATGCCCACCAGGGGAAGCCGGAGTGAGGAGGAGGGCGCGACCCATCCTGCAGGCAGAGCTAAACCAGGAGCCGAAGAAACCGAGTCTGGTCACATCCCTTGCGCCCAGTAGGACTTAAGTTTGCGGGAGATCTGGTCGTGAGTGAGTGGCGGATGAAAATGCCACCGGCCGTTGGTAGCAAGGGCCCTACAACTTGGTTCTGGGACCCCGCGCTGCAGTTGGGAACAGATGGGAGGCGTCCAGGCTTGGTGCGCGCCCAGCAGGGCTCCAGCGGGCAGAGACAACCTCCACAGAACTTAACTCTCTCAGCCAATCGCCAGCCAGAGCATTGTTGAATCCACTTATGTCTAGTAAGAACCCCTCCCCTTCAGGACATCTCACGTCTCGGCTAAACCAATGTGCACCATCCAAGTATCGATGAATTCAATACTTCGGTCTGAAACTTCGGTCTCCCTAAAATGCGTAAAACCACGCCCCGAGGCTGCGCCCAGAGGCCGGCGTGGGGCTCGCGGGAGGCGCCTCACTGCCGCCCGCCCCCCACCCCGGGTCTCACCTCGATAATCTCCAGCATCTCCACTCGGGTGATCTTGCCGTCGCCGTCCAGGTCGTACATGTTGAAGGCCCAGTTCAGTTTCTGCTCGAAGCTGCCCCTGGAGGTGATGGACAGAGCGCAGATAAACTCTCGAAAGTCGATGGTGCCGTCCCCGTTCTTGTCGAAGGTTCGGAAGGCGTGCTGGGCAAACTTGGAGGCGTCTCCGTAAGGGAAGAACTGCAAAGCAGAACAAGCAAAGTCAGGGGGGTTGGGAGGGAAGGAATCGCGGGACCTAGGTGGGCTCCTCCTGGGCTCTGTTGGACGGCGACAGCCTCACCCGTCTGGAGATTAGTTTGGCCTCCTGAGGCTCAAGCGCACAGACAGGCATCAGGGGAGCCTTTCTCTCAACCTGTGCTCACATGCAGGCGCCTCATTGTTTCCTGTGGGTGAGACTGGTGACGCGCAGCTTTCCCTTGGTGAGGCCTAGAGTCAGTCAACAAACACCAACACGTGCTAGTTCCTCCTTTCTGTGTCTCTGGTCACTTCCCCAAGGACAAGGACTCAGATAGGCAGCAGGTTTCTCTTTCCACACGGGGTGGTTGCTATATGAGCCTCCACATTCCTCTAGGTTTGAAAATCTGGCTTCACAGCCACCTGGGGCTGGAGGGAGGGTGCCCCGACCTGGTTTCTCCTGCAACCAACCCCAGTCCTAGGCCCACCCCGGGTGAGGTTTCAGTTTCTGACTTCTTTTTACAGGGACTTTTCTTTTGCAGAACAGACATTTAGAACCCATTAAAAATAGAACATGACTGGGCTTATTTTTGAGAGACATAAAGCGATTTCTTCACAGAGCCACCAGTCACCAGGGGTGCGTGGGAGACAGAGATTGGACACAGGAGGAAAAGGAAGCAGAGACCACAAGGAGGGAAGACCGCAGAGAACCAGTCGGTGGTGGCCTCAGTGTCTCTTGGACACGGGCCTAGGCCAGTCACAAACAGCAGGTAGTTCTGACAATTAACAAGGAAGAACCACAAAGCCCCAAGTAAAACCCAAAACAAACCATGTTCTATTTTAAAGCAGAGAAGGGCTGTACATGTTTCTGGATGAATAAATCCAGCAACTACAAGGTCTACAGCAGATTACTGGGGATGGTCCTAAGTTTTTCCACTTGGTAAGTGGGCCAGGCTGACCGGCCTCCGCACAGACAGCCTCTTTGTGCCTGCTCTGGGCTGTCTCCCTTTAGGAACCATTGGTTCATCTTTCCTACTGTCTATCTTGCTCTGGGTCCTGCTGAGCCCTGCTGCCCACTCTTCCCACACCTAGAAACACATTGGAAGATAGAGAATTTTCCTCGAGAAATAAAATATGCATTTCCACAGAAGGATTCTATACAAGAGGCCTGGAGAAGCCTAACATTCCAGGGGAGCAGAGGCCGGCATAGGCTTGTATTTCAGTAGTACCCACTTCTAGACACAAAGATCTGTCCCAGGTACTATTACTACCCCAAAATTTAGTGGCTTAAAACAACAACAATCATTTTATTATCTCAGAAAATAAAACTTTAAGATCCGCTTCTTTCAACAAACAACATATCTTTTCCTGGCTATGAAGGTCAGCATTCTCTTTCGTCCCCTTATTCCCTAAACACATCTTTTATTTCTGCTATTCTTCATTTTTCATTATTCACCAAAATCCACTGAGGCCTTTTTCATGTCAGACCCCATCCATCTCAGGTACCGGGGATATAGAGAGCAATACCTCATGGTTCGGTCCCTGTGTCCTAGGACCTCACAGTTCCTGGGGGAATCTGATTGAAATTTACAACGGCCACGCTATTTGATAAGAACTAGAACAAAAGGGGAAGCAAAGTATTCCTAACACTCAGAAAATGAGCTGTTGGTTTTAAGGAGGGGCGCTATGGAAGGAAGAGCCCCCCTTCCTCTTTGGCCAGCTTAGCACCAACCTCCTACCCTCAACTCTACTTAAGGAGCTCGGAACCTGAGGACAGGCTGCCAGGGGCTGAGCTTTGAACTGAGCAATTTTGAGCCCCAAAATGTCTAAATAGGCAAGTTTTCTCCTCCTGCGCCTTGCGTGTGAGTGTTCTTCATTCCTTTCTAGGAGGATGCTGTTTGCTGATGTGTTTGACTGCCTCATGGTCAGAGGCCTGGGTGGAGCTGGTGCCTGCAAAGCTGCCTCAGAGCAGAGCTGAGTGAGTTCCTGGGTATTTTTCTTCATTCATGTAGGTTTCAGGTAGTGTAATGCTTTAACTGTCTTATGTCTCACAGCCTACTTTTGGGTTAAGGGATATTTGACAGTTTTATCTAAAAATAGCCAGGCATCTTAGGTCAGTGTATTAAAAATTAATTTAGGTCTAAAAATCCTTGAGAGAAAAATTGATTGTAAATTTTGATCTTTAAAAGTTACATGTGGCTTGCCGAACTTCTATTTACTGACTTTAATAGACAACATGTTTACTTCAGAACTGAGTGTTTGCTCAAGAACCCTCAAATGTCCAGGAGGGTTATTTCCTCTAGAAAATTCATCCTATCATGTTCTGAGTACTTTGAGTTTTTCTAATCAGGGGAATACTTCTTCTTTTGACAAAATAATTCAACTCTAGATGGATCATCATGGAAAAATGAAGCCACACACCGTTCAACCTCTTTAGGAAGAAATCAGGGTCTTGAACTCAGATTCATTTCTCTCAGGGAACAACAGTCTGAAAAGTACAAGTACTGTTTGCATACTGTTGCTAAAAATTTTTTTTTTTAATTCTACTTATTTTGCTTCAACTCATATCAAATGTTGACATGGAAGTAATTTTTAGTGGCAGTAATAATCTGCTTCTTTTAATATAATAGATAAAAAGAACTTTGTATTTGAAAAGTTATATATATCTATTTATAAAGACACACACATATAATATATGCAAGTTATCTCATTTAATCCTTATAACAAAATCTGACATTGTAAATTCCATTTTGTGGATAAGGAAACCGAAACCCAAGAGCAAAGGATTTGCTTATGTTTCCTGCCTGTCTGTAGCAGAGAATGGATTTGAATGCAGATCTGTCCAACTATGTCTGCTACACCTTGAGATGTCTCTTGATTAAGTGATAGCTGAGAAAATAAACACACATCATATTTAATGAAGCAAATTCCTTGCATTATATAATTCTTAGCTTCATCCCAACGCTTGAAATTCTCTGCTTTGAGTATGTATCACCACCTACTGGCAGCACCCATATACTGCAAGGAAATTTCCAAAAATGCTACTGAGAGTTATTTTTTGACTCATTCATTCTTTAACTCAGCAACTACTATGTGTGAAGGACTGTCTTAGAGGCTGGTAATAAAAATGAAAAGAAAAACCATAGAGCATTAAGCATAGTGGAGAAAGTATGTATCCATTGAACTACCACATATGTAAATATAAAATTACACTATGATAAATCACAAATGTGTACAGCCACAAACAAAAGTAATGGAGATGATCTTATGAGCTTGAAACTTTAAAAAAAACAGTGTGTGGTCCCCTCCCCATGCCCTAGTATACAGGCTGCCGACAATTCATTGCTCTTCATCATAACCTAGAGTTTTAGAGTCTGAAACTTCCTGGAATTACACAAATCTCGATAGCTTCTGGCTGTACTCCATACCCCTACCCGAACTGACCAACTTGCAAGTGAAGAAAACCTCAGAAAACGCTTGAGGGCTCTGTCTCTCCCCAGGCAGATAATAGGAGTCTTTGCATGATTTAATCAGCCTTCTTAATGGTCAGGGCAGCAGCTTTTCCTACTGATAGTGGGTCCAAACCCTGCGTTGTTTTTTTTTTAATTCCTAGTAATCCCTCCCATTGTGAATATTAAAAGAATTGCTTCCTCTAAGACATGGTGAATGAGCACCAGACACACCGTGCTGAACATGTCATGTCATTAGCCTCTGTGCCTCCAGGTCCCCACCTAGTGTGGGCACAGAACAGCCATGCGATGGTCGAATTAAGAAACGGTCTTGGAAAACCATGCTTCTGTCCTCTGACAATCTTTCCCTCTGTATCTTGTATCTCAGCTCTCCTCAGCACCATCTTGCTACCTATCTCATCCTTTAGAAGTTATATTAAATACAGCAAAAACATTGCAATGTTTTCACATGAATCTCTCCCTCTCAGAAGATCACGTACAATGCTTTAATGTGATGAAGGATGCTGTTTCCTCAGAAATTCCCCAGCCCAACAAGGGTGGGGGTGGGGTGGCACAAGCAAGGTCTTGGCCAGTACCTGCCCCAGCCCACTGCAATGGTGTGCTGTGTCAGGGCAGCAGCAAGGCCACTGCAGAGGATGGTCTCTCTCCAGTGCTCTACCCAAAGCCTGGCTCCCGGCAAATGCTGGGCATTTGCAGCCCTCAGCCCTCAGAATAGATTTTTGCCCATTAGCCTGCCCAAAATAGACTCATGATGGGATCAAAAAACAGAAGGGTATTCTTGGACTGCACTGCTGCTCCCAGTCTTAGAGAGAGGTCTGCCATCCAATCCCTCATAGGACACAGTTACTTTTATTTTATTATTTTTCATTTGCTCTCAAAAAATGTCAAAGGCCTATATTTCCTAGCCTACGAACACACAAATACAATTGCTTACCTCAGGGTAGAGTCTTTTTCATTGTACCCTGGAAACACGGTTGCTGTACCTCTGAGTAAACCCTCCTCGCCCTGCTGGAATTTGCCAGTGGTTTCTAGCCTCTTATGGATGACCTGGGCTCGTCCCCTCCTTTTCAGGCCCTGCCACTGCCACAGTAGATACCATTTCATGAGTGACTCTCAGAAGGATTCTTTCAGCAAGGGTGAGACTTGGAGGAGGGTCTTTATTCTAGAATAACGCGCGAGATCACGCCCTTAAAAGGTGGGGTGGGATCAAACTCAGCTCTGTCTTAGTGAAAGCCCTGGCTCTTACCAGTTCCATGGCTCACCAGCTGAAGTTCCCATCTCCTTCTGCAAAAGCCCTGCAGATAGGTCCCCAGACCCTTGCTTCTGGGGTCTTGACTCTGCTGCACCTTGGGGATTTCCAGAAGAAGTCCATCACTTATACTATCAGGCTGCTCTTTGCTTTTGGTCTGTGAAGCTTGCTCACCTCTTACGGAATCCTCTGAGGGCAGGGGATTTTCAGGTGAGCTCACTGTGAACTCCTAACCCTGGGAGCCCTCATGCGGGAGGCCTCCTCTCCTGAAGGCAGGTGGTTAGTGA